GGTTAAATCTGTATGGTGACTTGAGATCAAACGCCAATCACTGGAAATTCTCTGTTGATATCAAGGTTGAAGGCTGCAAATGGAAATGTGGTCTCCCTGGGGGGTTTTCTTTTTGTTATCGTCTTCTTTTCTTCATTTATTCTATAGTAACAACACTCAAATTTGAACATTTTAATTGCTGCCTAATTGATTTTTTATACATTTACCACTTTGAATGAATTTAGTAGCCTAAATCAAGAATTATGACAAGCTGTTACGGTGACAATATTTTAATTGATACAACGTTATATCTAGATATTCAATCAATAAAACAAAAGGTATATGTCCAAAAGATACGGATCTTGAATTGATGGTCTTGACTTTGTCACGAGCACATGGATATCGCTGCATTTTTGCGGAAAGTGTGGTTACCTAGTAAATTGTTATAATAAACAGACAGGTGGATACTCACATGTTGTGTTGGAGTTCATTCCCACGGCCAGTAAATTATACTTTTTTGCTGTCGTCTGCCGCTATCCACACTTTAAGGCAAGATGTAGGTCTTCACAGGAGATGAGTTGTGAGAAACGTTGCTGAAGCATCGCGTGCTGTATCTGCTGTGGAGTGGGTTCTCTTTCTTGTGTTTCCGCTGCAGACGCGCTGAACTCTGCAGTCAGACAGAAACTGGTGAGGTTTATCTGACAAAAGAGAAACTACAGCTGCACGCGCGTCAGGCCCTGCAGCGCGCGCGGTGTTTGTGGGCTTTAGTCAAATAAAAAACCAAGTAGTGAACTTTTCACACATAAAGGCGTGCTTTCACACTATATGAGGTTAAGAACCTTAACCTTCTATTAGACAGGCTTTTAGCTAAATGTAAACTGTAAAACAATTATGAAACTCTTAGCAGTTAAATTTGCACGTCCAAATAAAAAACAAGTTTTTCAACATTTAAACGATTGGACGATTTGGATGTTCATAGAACATTCAGAAATAACGTTTTCATAACTTATATATTTGTTTGTTAGCTGGGCTGAAGACAGAGTGTGAGAAACGGCACCTTTAAAAGCCAAATAACCATTTTGACTTCCTTTTTTCAGCAGCATTCATCTTATTCTCACAGCAGCAACTCTGCAAAAAAAAAACGCTTTTCTTACTTAGATGTTTTTTGTCTTGTTTCCAGCCAAAATATCAAAAAAATTCTTAAAGGGGTCATATGATGCGATTTCA